AAAAGTGTTAAAAATTCAGTATAATATATATCTAATCATATTTTACAACTGTAGCAGTGAGTTCAAAATGTAAACAAAGCGTTTGTTTACATTACGGACTTTACATCACCTTTAAGTAGAGTATATTTTATATTAACTGTTTACAATATTTGTGGTATATAATGTGGCCATGACTGACCACATGACCCCACAAGATGAACTCCAATGGCTTCTAAATAAACAATGGATGAAAAGTTCATGAATATTGAGCTTTATATATGATTCAGGTTAAATACAATAATTAATTAACCTAGCTTTATATGAAATGTACATACATGTTCTAATAATTGTATTTTGCTTCATACAATGCATATGTATGTGGAAACATTACATTATTATTCAGCCCACTCCCCATTGGGGCTTTTCAGTGACCGATTACATCATAATTAATATAATAAGAGGGTTTGGAAGGCCGGCAAACTTCAAAGGATCACGCCCCCTTTCGTGAGCTGAACTCGATAGAGGGCATCACGTGACAGTTATAGTGCATCATGGCGTGATTCTATAATACAATTCCCTATTGACAACTTAGAAATCTTTAATTTTCGATCGTTATAAGAGGTTTTGGTAAAATACGAGGTTTTATCGTAAACCGAAGAAATTGTGAGCTCAGAGAACCTCCTCCAGTTTAGAAACAATTTAAGCAATTCTTTTTAATAACTTTTTAATAATAGTAAATATTGTTGTAAATATAGATTTTTAGAATAGGTATAGTTATAAATAGTTGGTGTGATATTCGAAAGGATTTTACCGACTTAATAAATATAGATGTATAGATGTAGATGAAATCTCTATTTTATGTGTGATAAGCCAAATTGCTGACGCTGTGTATAGTATGTCAACGGGGTGACAGGAGCTTGCGAGCTATCGTGTTTCAATTAGTGAAGCGAAGTCACACTGCTAAAGCCGTTCGAAAAGGTCGTTGAAAATGCACGTTTTAGGTTTGGAAACATGGAAATAGATGAGGAAATTGATACTGAGCGTTTAGAAAGCTCTTGTTCACCTTTTGAGGACGATTTCGAGTAAACAACTGCGCTTCTCGAGATGGACGTGGATGAAGTTCAGATTGAAGTTCAACAAGCGCTTGAAGAGGTAAGAAATATAAAATTTAGACGATGATTTTTATACATTACTCGTACATATATTACTGTAAACATAGATATTTACCTAATGAATATTTTCCCTTTCAATACATAGTCTCTAGTCTAGGTTGAAGGAAAGAAACAGTTTCCTTGCAGAGTTTCAGTTTCTGTGAGAAAGTTTGCAAATCCAAAGGTGGCCTGACAAGACACCGACGCAGTATGAAACATGTTACAGAATTCTAATGGTGAGGGATCTTCTACATTTCAAACAGTGACATTAGTAGAAAAAGTTGCCAAATTAATACGTGATATAGGTCCACACTTGGTTCAGTTGGCTGACGAAGAACTGTATAACTGTATGCCTTGCTTTAGTATTTATTCTGTTCAACGCCAGGCGATTGTACTTGTCAAGGGAAGCATCTTGGATAAAGATATTATTTATGTGCCACCAAAGGGCAGTCTCACTCTCAGAGCGAAACAAATGTAGTTAGAATATTTAATCATAGATTCTTGTTTGAATTTTAGGAAGAATTGTCCTTGTCACCTCAGGAGCTTGAACCATTATCATATTCGACAGGCTATGTGATATTAAGATCTTTATACCATAAAAGCAAGAACTGTTATAGTAGCAATTCTTCCCAGAACAAAGAAATCTAAGCCTCGATGTTATCAATGCAACAGGACACAGAGGCCAATAAATACATTTCATCCTTGTTGAGGGGTGGACTTTAGTCACCACACTCATGGATTGTAAGCATTGCAGAGGTGTAAGAGTTAATATTTAAAAAAACACACATCAAATAAAGACAAGGTCATGGGCGGATTTACTGGGGGGTTAGGGGGGGGGGGGTTAAACCCCTCCTAGAATCTCTCTAACCCCTCTTATAAAGTGTTCAACCCCACCAAAATTTTTCTTCACCTCTCCTATTTAGTGTGAAAGTCTTTAACCTTAACGCCTAAACCCTGTCAAAGCTCGCTCAGTGGTGCCGCTTGCACCCCACCAGAAATATTTCTACCCCTCCTTTAAAAAAAATGAAAATCCGCCCTTGGACAAGGTCACTGTCTACCAGTAGACATCACAATCTACCAGTAGACACAATTTTTTTTTAATAACTTAACAATCAATAAGATCGAAGGTCAGGACAACGGAAAAGAAGTTCCCAATTAAGTCCCACCAAGACAACACAAATACAGACGTACATAAAAAACTATTTACAACAGTAAAAATTAATCTCGATTGAAGAATGCTCGAATGGTTAATCTATTGAAACTCAGTTTGTGACTAATTTATATGAAGAAAAAAAATGTATCAAGAGTTGTAACGAAAACTGAGCATATTAAGCATATAACAGATTAACCCATCGATCATGCTACGAGCATCTAGGTATTACGAGCAGCAGTTTATTTGCAGTGATCTACAATTACTGCATCGTGTTTTCCAAGTTCTACACCTATCTGCATCAAATACTGTAATCAGTTTATTAAAGTAATATTCATATAGTTTAGCTTTAAGGACGTATGCGGAAGAAGAAGATTTAATATCACTAGGCAAGCTGTTCCATAGATACACAATTATATTGAAGTACGAGTTCCTGAAAAGAGTTGTTCTACATAGATTTGGACACAGAAAGTCACCAGTACTGGAACGGGTCGACCGATGACAAGGTCTTTCGATGTACTTATCAATGTCAAGATCATACAGCCCCGCTTTGCATTTATAATAGAACACAATGTCCTTTATTTCCAGCCAATATGAGATAGGATAATTTCTTTAAGCGATCCGAGTAAGACGACTCGTAGTCTTGCAGAATAACTTTCGTGGCGCGACGTTGAACACTCTCAAGACGTAGCAGATCAGAGGGTGGACCCTGGGGCGCCCAGACTTCAGAGCCATGAGAGAACTGCGATCTAACAAGAGTTAAATACAGAAGACGTCTGCAGTTAACGTTCGCGAGGTAGAAACAATTTCGCCGAACAAACCCGAGCATCTTGTTAGCTTTCGATATCAAGTTATTTATATACGAAGACCATTTTAAACTTTCGCTCACAAGGATTCCCAAGTCTTTCTGAGTTATTTTAAATGGTATAAGTTGATGATTGAGGTGGTATTCTTGAGGTTGTTCGGAACTTGTCTTGCCAGAAAATCGCATTGCAGCACACTTCGAAGAATTAAAACTGAGATCCCAGGTTAGTGACCATTGGTGTAGGGAATCGAGATCAGTTTGTAGGAGATTTCTGTCTTGTGTTTTCTCAATCTTTTTGTAGCATTTACTGTCATCAGCAAACATGGGAACAACGCTGTGATTAGCTGCTTCGGTAAGATCATTTGCATAAATCAAGAACAGGAGTGGACCAAGTATACTTCCTTGTGAAACTCCCGAGGTGGCATGAAGGTAGGAAGATGCGACTGCGTTGACCACTACTCGTTGACGTCTATTGCTCAAGTAATCCGAAAACCAATTCAATAACAAGCCCGAAATGCCGTGCTGTTGAAGTTTAAGTAGAAGTTTTGGATGGGAAACAGAATAGAAGGCTTTCGACAAATCCAAGTAATTCATACCAGCTTCTTTACCGCTGTCTGGAGCTTCGCCAATGTCATGAAAAACACCGAGAAGTTGAGTGGAGCATGGTCGTTTTTTGCGGAATCCATGTTGAAAATCACTCAACGAAGGTTTAACAAACTCGGACACGTGGATATGGATGACTCGCTCGAGAAGCTTGGATACAATGGAAAGCAAAGAGATGGGTCGAGAGTTAGAGACATCATGGACATCGCCCTTCTTAAAAACTGGAACAACGGTTGCTTCCTTCCATTCCTGAGGAACTTTGCCTTGTGATAATGACATATTGAAGAGAGCAGTTAAAGATGGAGAAATTTCGTCAGCACACTCTTTCGTAGCCTGACAGATATTCCATCAGGTCCTGAGGCTTTGTCGGCGGGGAGGCTTGATATGAGACAATTCACATCACTGGTTGAAACAGTTATGGATTCAAGGATATTCTGACTGTGATCTGGTGGAGGAGATGAACTGTCGGATTATGGGTCAAGAGGATGAAAAATTGAGGCGAAGTATCTATTAAAGGCATCAGCTTTACCTTCTGAGGATGTGAATGAAGTCCTAACTTCTCCTCTTGTGACAAACTTGTGGTGCAACATTATTCAAAACTGTGATGTAGAAACTTCAATGGAATGTCAATCTTTATCTTTAGAGAATGTTCAGTCAAATTATATGAAACTGTAAGATGTTTTGCTTTGCTAAGGATATTGTAAATAAATAAATATAAGATAAGTCAGGGTACACAGAAAAATAAAGCTTTATGAAAAGACTTGAAGACAGGCACGGATTTTCTGGGGGTGCGCCCCCCTCCC